CCCCCCCCCCTCCCCCCAAAATATGCAGATTTCTCTGGCGGGAAGCGATTTCGCGAACCAGGCAAGATACAAAGCTCAAACTATGCAGGGATATTCTCTGTGCATGTGCAAGCTAAAGTTTTCAAATTCAGCTGCCGCGCACGTTTGTGCAGCGCGTACGATCAAGTCAAAGTTTGCAACTTGGTACCGTGCTAACTCGAAAACTTAGTGGAAAAAGTGGCAGAAATTTTGTCAGCATGTTTGTCGCTCGTATGGGAAATTGTGTACCTTAAATGAGTCCCGACTTGTACTTGAGCCACGACTTAGGGCACTTCAAAAACATCTGTAACGAAGTGGATATTTCGCTTGCCTGGCTGAAAATTCGAGGCTGAAAATTCGCTGAGATATTCTACTTTCAAGTGCGGTCTTAATTCTGCTTGGAGTTTGCATTCCCTCCAGGTAGGCGTGAGAAATACTCAATTTTGCCGAAAAGTCAGAAGCGAGTGCGTCTTGCAGCGGACGACGGCCTTCACCCAAATGTGTAAATGAACATTAGTTCATTTGCATATTTGGACTTTTTCACAAACGACCGCTCAAGCAATACTTTTGCTCTTTAGTGAACTGAAAATTTACATTTCTGCAAAAATTTGCATTTTCATTTTTTCAAAAAGCTAGCATTTACTGGAAAAGCGACCGAGCTTCATGCAAAAAACTGGTGATCATGTACTTGCAGGCCCATGCGGCTCTGTAACACAACACCCTCATCCTAACCGTTGTCCATTGTGCTGCATGCCGGAAGAAACAAAGGCCTGGCCAATATGAGCCCAATTGTTTGGCTGCAGCGCAGGGATTATTCCTGCTATTAACGACCCGCGAATTTAGTGCAAAAGCGCATGATCGCATCGGCAAGCCTGGTGCGTTCCAGCCTGGGTCCTTTATGCAAAACTTATGATCATTTACGGTAGTGAGCTCACAGGGTAGTTGTGAAGCAACAATCATTCGTACAGTTAACGACATAACAACTTTAAATTTGGTGCAAAAACACGTGATCGCACCGGCAAGCTTGCTGCGTTCCAGCCTAATTTCTTTCTCGCTTGGATGCAATGCCATCCTTCTTGCCGATCAGTTGACGGAGAGCCTGAATGCTTATTTGGTCACGAAGAGACATCTCAACTCCTGCAAATTTTGTCTTTGAGAGGAATGGGAAGACTTTTAAAAAAGAAATACTTTGCGAACTTAATGTGAGCTGTACTTACTTGTCCACTAAACGACGAAGCAGTAAAGATGTGCTTGTTTCGGAATAGTGGATCTCTCTCCAGGCAATCAGGTAAAATGATTTTTGGCCAGATGGCGCGGGATTTTCTAAATTTGTAATTTATCGCTTCTTTATTCAAATGCCACTTACTGTATATTAATTGCAGCATGTAAGTGCGATGAAATCGGGTCGATGCACAATACATGTGATCAGAACACCTCACAGTGCACGTGTAAAACAAATTTTGCTGGAATTACTTGCGACAGTTGTGCCGACGGCTATTTTGGCCATCCGCTCTGCGAGTGTATGTTTTTTTAGCAACAGATTTATATGCTGCTGAGAAATTTTTAAGAGGAACAAAATGAATCGCTTCTTGTGCTTTACGGAGATGCCAGGATCGATGAAGTTTTGGCAGAAAGGTAGAAATAAAATTGATAGGCGTTAAAAACTAGTCAGAAAAACGCTTGTATTGGCAGAGAAGTATGCAATTGGTTTATTTGATTAGAAAGTTAGATAATGAAACAACAAGATGCATTAGACCAAGCACCTGTCAACATCAAGTTTTGGACATGTTTTTTGTCAGAGTGTGCTACTGAAATGACCTCGTTTTTATGAATTAATTCATCTCAGACTGCGATTGCGATGCAAGCGGCACCGAAGATGGTATCTGTGATAAAGAAACAGGTGCTTGTCTCTGCAAACCGGGGTTTTCTGGATCAAGATGCGATGAATGCGATTTGAATTTCTTCGGTTATCCACACTGCAAGGGTAAATTGAGCTTTCGTTGTTTCGAAATGTAAAAAGTGCAGAATCGCTGGCTCATTATCCGGGCATAGAGTTATTTTGCGTTCTAGAATGCGGTTGCAACCAGCATGGTTCAAAATCCATGGAATGCGATCGAAAGACTGGCGATTGCCCGTGCTTTGCGAATTTCACTAGCAAAAAGTGTGATCGTTGCGCAGCTGGTTTTTACGATTATCCAGACTGTAAGCCGTGCTCGTGTTTGGTCAGTGGTTCGAAAGGCATGACATGCGACAACACCGGACAGGTTTTTATCTTTTCGTTAAAGCCCTCTCCCTTTTCGCGATTGTAAGCTGTTGCTGGCTTGTTTCTTACCTGCCTTCAACATACTTCTTGAGCAGCTTTCCGAAGAGGGAGTCGCTAGCCAACGGGGAGTGGCGTTTACGTTTTCTGCGAAAGGATAAATTTTTGTCAAAAAATTGAGATTGGATGGAAACTGTGCCAAAAAAAAACTTGGCAACTCTCGATTACCTAAACTGATAAAAATCTGCGTTGAATCGGTTTGCTGTTTCATTTTGAGGAAACATTTTTGTTAATGAACAGAGAAACTCACACTAGTAACCATACTTTTTTATCAGGTTTTTCACTGTTTTTGTGGGTTTCTTCATTCATTAACAAGAAATTTTGTTAAGGTGAATAAAAAACAGATTTTGCGCAGTGGACTGCGTGGTTTTTTAGCTTTTGTTGGACCTTTACATCTACTTTTTTTAAGCAATAATTGCCAAAATTAATTTTGTAAAAGCAATTACACTGCCAGAACTTCTTCAAAGCGTGGATTTTTTGAAAAAATTTCGTTAGCAGAAGAAAAAATTTCACACCATTACTTTCAACACTTTTTAGCCACCAGTAACATTTAAATTATCAGCGAGAATATGATAAGAAAACTAGTAATATACAAAAAATGAAAAAATTGTTTTACCGAGAATACCAAGAAAATTTCGCTACTTATTGTGATATTGATAGTTTAAATCACTTTTTGGTCCATTCTGTGTTTTTATTTTCGAGTTCAGTCTTGAATTGTGATTAATCTTACCAGTCGAAAACGGAAAGAGGATTTTTGATATGTTAAAGCCACGCTTCCACTAACAATCTCAGTAAGAACTGAAGCTTACATAACTGTACCAGTCAGCTGTTCACCTAATTCGTTTTACCATCTTCAATTACCCAATATTTTTGCAGTGCTATTGTAAGCCGAATTTTCAAGGTGAACGTTGCGATCAGTGTAAAACAAATTTCTACAATTTTCCAATTTGCGAAGGCATGTTTTTCCCCTTGGAAAACTCGTTTAAGCATCTCCGAAATCAAAAATGTTCAGAGTACCTCACTTTCTCTAAGAAATGAACGGATCTAGAAATGATCGAAATGTTAAGCTACGTCAAAGAAAAAAAATCAAAACTATCGATGGTTGTTTAGAGGCAAACTTATAGCGATTTCTTCTCTGGCATTGTGCCAGTAACAGTTTAGTGCTGAAATGTGTCATCGAATCAAAAAGTCGGAAGAACTGACTTCTAGTCTGAGAGTGGTACTACTTGCAACTACATAAAAATAGCTAGCAGGATGCAGTGACTTCCTTTTGTAGGATGCGATAATTGCTTTCTAAGTTGCTGTCGAACTGAATCTTTGTAGAATGCAACTGTAATCCGAACGGTGTGGTAGCGAGTTTTGCTGGATGTGATAAGGTCGCACCGGGAGAGCTGTGTACCTGCAAGAGGCATGTGGCCGGCCGTATATGCGATCAGTGCAAGCCGACCTACTGGGATTTGCAATACCACCATGAGGATGGTTGCGTGGAGTGTCGGTGCAATTCTGCTGGCACTATTTCGGAACTGAATGAATGTGGTCTGATCGACGGACAGTGCTACTGTAAACGACACGTCGCCGGTCGCCAGTGTGACAAGTGCGCCGATGGATTTTATAAGCTGGAAGCACACAGCCAGCTCGGATGTCAAGGTTACATTCAGTTTGCGTCGAGCAAGTAACTCTGACGAATCACATGCTGTGATCACCGTATCATCAGTAGAATAACTGTGAGAGGCATTACTGCGCATCAAGATTCAACTTGCCTGGATATCGCATCAGATCTTGACTCTCCTCTCAATAATGTTTGCTCGAGATGCCTTTAGAATCTTTGCCCAGTTATCTCAGTAAATTATTTTGCCTAGTATCGTTTGAGAATTACTAGTTGCTTTCCACGCTGACAGTTTCTTTTTTTTTGAATCCGCTGTAAGGGAGAGCAAAGTGACAAAAACGCATGGGAAGAATAGATTATAAGTGTGGGCTGTATTCGGCTTCACTCGCTCGCGCCGGTATGCACTGTGTTTACCTTTTTTCTGTTGCACATATTTCGGAAGTTTTTCATGTATTTCGATTAAAGAAGAAAGCGCACTCAGATGGCCTCTGAGAATGGATTGCTTAAGTAATGTGAGAGTTTTTTTAGGTTACAAATAGAGGAATACAGCCGCATCGGAAACGTGATTTCATAAGGCTTAATAAAGATAAAAATAGGAATAGAATAATAATAACAAACGAAGTCATAATAATAGTAATTATAATATGGAATAATAATCTACTAACACTAGTAATAAAAGAGAATACCTCAGAGCAATAATAATCACAACATATTTAAATAACTAAAAGATCATATTTAAATTTAGATAACTGAAAGAAAATGTTTCAGACTATTAAGTTGTATACGTTCCTTCTCAGTGCCACATCTGGACTTTTTCAGCACGACAGCTGTGGCATTGTGTATTAAATACGGTGAAGAATATATATATATATGTACATACACGCATATATATATGAATATATATATGAATATATATATATATGTATAAAGGAAATCGCGTGCAAAAATTAGAAATATTTTAAAGCAAAGACTGCTTCAAAACTAAATATACAAAAGATCAAATATACAAGAAGAATTAAACCTACCTATGTGGGGTCAAAGATTAGATGAAGAATGGGTTAGAAACAGTAGTTCAGGCTGACTGACGTAAGAAATGTTGAATGGATCGCAAGATGTAAGAGAGCTTAGTCGACCCGGGGTACTGTTCATCAGAAAGTTGTTGCACTGCTCTGGAAAAGTTTTTTTTTGAGAGAAGACTTTGGATAATTGTATTTTGCAACTGTTTCTTATAAAAAGTAGCGCGTTTCAGCTTGTAATTGCGATACTGGCGGCGCACTCGGCGTTGGGTGTGATCTGGAAACTGGCGAGTGCCGTTGTCGACCTCGAATCACCGGTCAGAAGTGTGACCGACCGATAGAAAATCATTACTTTCCGACGTTATGGCACAATAAAGTGAGTTTCAAGTGTTTTGCTTATTTGTTTTTTTTCTGCTGCACGCCTATCAGCACTGTTTGTGCCAGATCTTTTGCAGCAGCAAACAGACTAGGGATCAAAAAAACACTAAATTCATCATAACAAAACATAATTTAGTTGCTAGAGATACTGAATTTAGCAAAAATTATGCCAACTTTATCAGATATTTGTGTATCGAACAGAACTAAGTTGAACTGTATTAAGATTTTTTGGGGAAACGTGGTTTTATAAAGGCCTGACGTCGTAGGGCTTGTCTTTCATCACTCCATTTTTTTTTTTTGAATTGACTGCACTGAGCACTTTTTTTGTTGCAGTACGAAGCGGAAGACGGCGTATCATCAGACAATAAACCGGTACGCTTCGCCATCGACAAGAACAAATTTCCCAGTTATTCCTGGCGTGGTTATGCGGTTTTTTCGCCAATCCAGGAAGATATTTTTTTGGATGTAGCAATTGCAAAAGCCAGCATTTATCGTCTTCTTTTCCATTTCATCAACCCAACTGACGTTAAAATTGAGGCTCGGATTGCTGTTATACCTCTTTTCACGCATACGCAAGGTCATTTTTGAGCTCGAAAAAACTTCCGAAAGGACTGTTTCATTTAGTCTTTTTTTTGTACCTTTTTTGTCCTATTACCAAGAACTTTTCAGATGTGGAGCAGACCGTGAAAATTACTCTTCCACCAGCATCTGAACCAACAACGACTGCGGTCAATCCGAAACATCCATTTATCTTAAATCCTGGCAAATGGCGAATAAAAATTTCAACTAAACAGCGTTTGTTCCTGGTAAAAATTCGTCTTAAGTTTCTGAGTATACCAACACCCCGTGAGTTTGTCGTGCAGAGACTTCTAACAGCCATCAGTTGGCCGACCTTCGAAATCTGGGCAGTCCAAACAGATTGCCTTGAACACTGTGCGCTTTCTCATTAGGAGCCTTGCAAAAGGAAATCCAAAGAAGTAGTTTCGCTCATTCCTCGCGTCCATCCTCTAAGTTGTTTTCAAAAAACGTTTGTAAAATAAATTCTTTTTTTTTCTCCCCAAAAATGAATGAAGTACGAGGATTACCAAGAACTTTTTTTTTGTAGGGGCTTTCTGGAAAAGGGCCCTCGGATACCAGTTGTCATTTGTTACAACTGTTTTTCAGGATTTTATTGTGATATTGCCAGCAGAATACTACGAAGGAACAGTGCTGAAAGAACGTGATTTTGAACCGTGCCATGCACGTCATTCAGAAAATCTGACGTGCGTTGACTTGCTGTATCCGCCACTTCCTGTTGTTTTCCGAGCGGATGCTGCCGAAGAGGCTGCTATCTTGGAAGAAAAGAATGACGGATCGATGGTACAAGTTGAGAAGGTAAATGCTCAAAAATGTTTTGGATTTTAATTTTGAACGAAGGTTCGAAATCTGAATGAAATAAGATTCGGTAGAGCTATTGTCGAGAAGGGAAGGGGCTGCCCTTTTCTGTTTTGTGCAGAAGCGACAGAGAGAAGGAAATTTGCGAAAAATCGAGTCAAGGAATATGAAACACAACGTGGACGAAGTGCGTATTATAACGAGTTAGAAACAGCAGTCAGCCAAAGGTCGAGAAATTTCATCAGAAATTAGAAATTTAACCACCATGACATAAATTTCAACTGAGTAACACGAAACTGAGTAAAAAATTGAAAATGACTTGCTCTCGCCCTCTCCAGACTGCCTGCTTAAATATGGTTCTTTCAAAACCTTGAAAGAACCATATATAAGCAAACAGTGTGGAGAAAGAGATCGAGAGAATCATTTTGGAAAAAAGCGGATACTAAAATTGGGGATTTCGTCTTCGTCTTAAGATGAATATGGCAGTGGTGAAGACGGTAAAAATGTTGTTTGCAAGTGATAGTTTATCAATCAAAATCATATTGCTGGTAAAAGCATTTTGTAAATTTTCAGTATGCACATATAATGTAATTTGTGTCTTTCCCAGGTTCCCATAGAAATTTTACCAGCGATCGTTGGTGAGGCAGCATTTGTGCGTGCGGACAGCGAGGGACGAAAAATTCATATGAATTTAAAAGTGAGTCAAATTTAAAAACTTTATAGTTTTTACTGCTTCCATTATGGGAAGGGATACTTAGACAGGATAAAAAAAATTTTCGAGAAAATTTTTTGGAAGACCACATTGGATTATATAAAACTTATTCGTTTTTATGCGTTTTTGCATATGTGCAAATTCCAAAAACGCATATTAGGAAGAGGCTGTGCGTGTCTGTCTGTCTGTTTGTTTGCACTTTTTGTCACCCACTTTCAGCTCGAGAACCGGAAAAGCTAGAAGGCTGAAACTTTGGGATATGTGCCCATATCATGCTCGACCCTCCCGCTTTAATATCGTAGCCCGCGGACGCCTGGGTGCCGCTTACGGACGCTTTAAAGAAACATGAATTTTTTGGCAGGAAAGCGGTCTCGGGAATCAGACAAAGTAAGAGGCTGAAACTTTGTAAGGATGTCCCCTGTGCATGTGTTAGCTAATGATTTCAAATTCAGCCTCCAGGTATGTGTGGTATTCACGTAAGGGCGTATAAAAATTTTAGTGGGAAGATTGCTAACTCGGAAAACCAGGAAAGCTAGAAAGCTGAAATTTTGGAGGAATATCCCCTATACAAGTACAACTTAAATATTTCAAATTTAGCTATCAGGTATGCGTGGCTCTTTGGTGGGAAAATTGTTAACTAGGCAACTAGAAAAGCTGCAAGGTCGAAATTTTGGGGTAATGTTCCCTGTCCACGTGCAGTTTAAAAATTTCAAATTCAACTTCCCAGGCATATGGAGTGCCCATGTACGAGCATGTGAAAATTTTGGCGGGAAAATTGCTAACTCGGTAACCAGAAAAGCTGAAAGGCTAAAATTTTGGGAGAATGTTCCTTATCCAAGTAAAACTCAAATATTTCAAATTCAACCCCAGCTGTGTATGATACTCACGTAAGGGCGTACGAAAGCTTCTGCAGGAAAATTACTAACTCGGGAACCAAAAAAGCTAGAAAACTAAAATTATAGGGGAATGTTCTTTGTCCAAGTACAACTTAAGTATTTCAAATTTAGCCTTGAGGTATGTATGGTCTTTACGTACGGGTACTTAAAAGTTTTGGCGGAAAAATTTCCCACTGAACAGCTAGGTTACTTTTGAAGAACCACCGTTATTGTACATTTAAGTTTGTGCAAAATTTAAGGTGATTTATGCTAGTGACCGCAAAAGATAGGTGTAAAGCAACCCAGGGTGGAATACACCAAGCTTGCCGGTGCGATCATGCGTTTTTGCAGCAGACTTGAAGCAAGCAGGTCGTTAACTGTATGGATAGTTGTTGATTTACACTTACCTCGTGCACTCACTGGCGTAAATCATCGCAAATTTGGCATAAAGGAAACGAGCAATTTCCGTTTAACGGTCGTCCTGTGAAAATGACTTAACTGTTCAGCGAGAAATTCTTCCGCCAAAACTTCAAGTGCCTATGCGTGAGAACCAAGCATATACGGAGGCGGAATTCAAACTCTTTAAATCGTACTTAATCAGAAAATTTTGCCCTAAAATTTCAGCCTTCCAGCTTTTCTGGTTGCCGTATTAGCAATGTGCGCGTACGTAAAAACCACATACGGCTAAACGCTGAATTTAAAATTTTTAGCACACACATACGCAGAGAATATTCCTGCACAGTTTCAGCTTTTATCTTGTCTAATTCCCGAAATCGCTTTCCCGCCAAAAAATATGCACAATTTTTAAGGCATCTGCACACGGTACTCAAACCTGCGCGAATGATAATTTTAAAACGGGAGGATCGCACATGGGCACATACTCCCGAAGTTCCAGTTTTCTAGCTTTTCTGGTCCTCGAGTTGAAAGTAGAAGACGAAAAGTGCGAACACACAGACATACACATACAGACAGCCTCTTAC